GTAGTAAAAACAGCGAGCCATGCCATCATGTCGTTTAAGATATGATGTTTGTGCCAAGGAAGGGCATCCACTGACAAGGTGTTGGAGAGTCTCTGTAAATTCATTGCAAAGTCGACATTTCATGTTAATATTCTCTTTAAGAATCACATTTAGGCGATTACGAGTGGGAAGTGACTGGTCCTGAGCAGCAAAAAGGAAGCCCTCAGTTTCACATTTAAGACCAGCCGACTTCATCCAGGCGAAGGAGTCAGTGGGATTGCTATTCTGTTCAACACACTGCATGTACACACGATGCAATGGCTTCTCAGAAAGCTTCTCCACAAAAGACCGACTCTGGGCAGACTTGGTAAAGGACTTCACCTGGTTTACTCCCATCGCTGTACCATCCAGCAGTACATTGCCTTCAACAAAGTCAACCTCAAATTTCAGATTCTGTCCAACAACCTTGGCACGCTTAAAATAGCTGTGGAATTCCTTGCTTTCATCATGAGTCTTCACATGCATCACCAGAGGATCATCCGATAAATAAATATGTGCAAAAGTACACAATAAAATTCTGTCATGAAGAGCCTCCACATTAATCAAACCCCGACCTCCAGAATTGATTGGCATGTATAAACGGTTAAGAGAGGAACGAGGGTGGTGGGCTCTGTTATCAGACATGATCTTTCTGGTCAGGCGGTCAAGACTCTGGATGTCTTGTTTTGTCCAATCAACTACTCCAAAGGAATAGGAGAGGACTGGCACAGCAAAAGTATTGGTGGCTTTGACCTTGTTACGAGCATTTAGCTCTGAGCTCCAGATTTTCTTTAAACGAGATTTATACTCGGCCCGAAGTTTTTCTTGAATCTGGGCATTCTGGAGCTTGTCTCGAACTTGCATTCCAAGATAGGTGTAGGCCTGATCTTCCACAAGATGCTCAATAACTCCTCCCCCTTGTAACCTGACCGATCCATCATTAGTTACCTTGCCACGTTTCAAATGAAGAGTATTACATTTGTTGAGTCCAAATGTCATACCAATATCATTAGAAAAGGACTCGACAAGGAGAACCTGCTCTTTCAAATTGGAATCTCCTTTGGCAAGGAGTTCGATATCATCCATGTAAAGGAGATGAGTAAGAGGTGTTGGGGATCTGTGCTGAGGAGGTCCGGGGTGGTAACCCTCCTCTTTATTGAGCAGAAAGCTCAAAGGATTTAAAGACAGACAAAAAAGCAAAGGACTAAAGGAATCCCCCTGAAATATTCCCCTTCTGATTGGAATAGATTCCGAAATCTGCACATGCCCTTGTGAGTACATCTCAAGTTGAGTTGACCAGCAACTCATTAAAGACTTGAGTAAATCAAGTAGTCGCTCAGGGAGGTTAATACAATGAAGAGACTTCAGAATCCATTCGTGAGGGACAGAGTCGTATGCTTTTTTGTAGTCAATCCAGCACATGGAGAGGTTGCGGTGATATGTTTTAGCCTCTTCCAAAATCATTTTCTGTACAAGAAGTTGATCCTTGCACCCCCAACATCCCTTTCTTGCTCCCTTCTGCTCTCTGTAAATTATATCATTGGAAGAGCAGTAAGATGACACAAGGTTTGTCAAACACCCTGTGAATATTTTGTATTGTGTATTCAAACATGTGATAGGGCGGAAGTTTTTGGGATCAGTCAAGTCTCCTTTCTTGGGGAGAAGTATTGTGCGACCTTTGCAGAACCATGGAGAAACATCACCTGTGTCCACGAGAGTATTGAAACAGTGCAGTAATGGTGTTTGGACACAGGGGAACAGTTTCCAATACCGGTTTCGAATGCCATCAGGCCCTGGAGCTGTATTAGATTTGGACTTTTTTATAACACTTTTCAGGCAATCTGGTGAGATGTAACAGACAAACGACCTAGTTACCTTCTCATGCATTGCATGGTCATAATCACGGACCCATGGTGCCTCAAGGTTACAGTTGCCGGGTACAGACCACAACTGTTTCCAGAACCTTTCATTGGCATCCATGGGAGGCCGTTTGTCATGTTCACCATCACCTTTTGTTTTCAGTTGCCTGTAGAAGTGCTTTTCATTATTTCTAAAAAGTATATTTTGTTTGATGAATTTATTTTTCTTTTCCCATTTTTTCTTTCTTTCAGTCCAAACCTTTATTTTGGCCTTAAGGAATCGACAATTTGGAGAAGTACCTTTTCTTTGTTGTCTTGTATTGTAATTTTAATTTTCTCCAAATTGCCTTTTGCCGTTTTGACATTGGACTCCCTGATGATCTTAACTTCAGGCACAGTTCTATCCAGGAAATGTATTTTCTAGTTTCCGTTAGTTTTACTTGAAACCGGTTTTTCTTTGGTGTATTGTTCTTAGTGTTAGATGTTTTTTCTTTGGAAACTGTGTGAATTTCCTCCAAGGTTCGAGCAGCAGCGTAGACACAACAATTAACTTCATGTAATGAACAGTCCGATGAAAGTTTCATAGAAATAATATCATTTAATAAATTGATTTCATTTTGGGGAAAAGATTCATTTGTTTGTTTAATTGGCCTCCGATTTTCTAAAGGTATGCCAGATATTTCATCATAAATAGAATGAAACAAAATATACACAGGGTTTTCGGAAAGATCTGCAACTGAAGAAGAGGAAGAGTGAGGGTCCGAAATTTCGGGGCCAATTAGCTCTTTGTCGGAAGAGTTTCCATCAGCAAGAGGAAAGAGGTTGACATGGACGTCCATTAGAAGTTTTGGGTCTGCTGCCACTTGAGCATTCTGTTCATGCAGAATGAACTTTAAGATTATTTCGGGCTGAAGGCGACAGTTGATTATTGAATATACACAAGAAGATGTTTTCATTACTCAATGGTTGGCGGTGAACGTATTAGATAAGTTGATCTATTAATTCTTTTGTCAACCAGTTTTCTCAATCTCACGTCAGTCGGTACACTGGGAGTAGAGGGGTGATTGGGTATCTTCACATGACTCATGGTGACCGAACTGAACTGAACTTTTATTCACTCAGGCTGCAAACTGCAGCATTAGAGGTACATAAATAATATTTACATTTATACAACATAAAAAGTATATGCAGGCGGTGCACTGTGCAATGTACATTGGGCAAGTTACTTAAGTTATTGAAGTTATTTCTTCAGTAAGGCCATAATTATTTTACAAATAATTGAAGTTTTGTACCCACCTAAGCTGTAGCCTCCATCAGCCAGTCCCCACCTGTAGCTTCCAACAGACAGACCACACCAGTAGCCTTCACCAGACAGACCCCACTGTAGCCTCCACCACCCAGAACTATCAGAGTGGGTGAGTAAGTTAATATATTAAGTCACAACGGCAATATTTCACCAATATCGTGACTATTGTTATTGAAGTTATTTCTTCAGTAAGGCCATAATTATTTTACAAATAATTGAAGTTTTGTACCTACCTAAGCTGTAGCCTCCATTAGCCAGTCCCCACCTGTAGCTTCCACCAGACAGACCCCACCTGTAGCTTCCACCAGACAGACCCCACCTGTAGCTTCCACAAGCCAGACACCACCTGTAGCCTCCACTAGCCAGACACCACCTGTAGCCTCCACTAGCCAGACACCACCTGTAGCTTCCACAAGCCAGACACCACCTGTAGCCTCCACAAGCCAGACCCCACCTGTAGCCTCCACCAGCCAGACCCCACCCATGGCATCCACAGGCCAGACACCACCTGTAGCCTCCACTAGCCAGACCCCACCCATAGCCTCCACAAGCCAGACCCCACCTGTAGCCTCCACCAGCCAGACCCCACCCATGGCATCCACAAGCCTCCATCATCGAGACTCCAGCTTGACCTCCAAAAGCCAGAGCCAACTGTAGCCTCCACCAGCCAGTCCCCACCTATAGCCTCCACTAGCCAGACCCCACCTGTAGCCTCCATCAGCGAGACTCCATCTGTAGCCTTTACCAGCCTGAACCCAACTGTAGCCTCTATCAGCCAAACCTAAGCTGTAGCCTCCACCAGCGAGTCCCCAACTGTAGTCTCCAGCAGCCAGGCCCCACCTGTAGCTACCACCAGGCAGACCCCACCTGTAGCCTCCACCAGCCCGACCCCAGCTGTAGCCTCCACCAGCCTGACCCTATCTGTAGCCTTCACCAGTCAGACCCCACCTATAGCCTCCACAAGCCAGACCCCACCTGTAGCCTTCACCAGCCAGACCCCATTTGTAGCATCCATCAGCCAGACCCCACCTGTAGCCTCCATCAGCGAGACTCCATCTGTAGCCTTTACCAGCCTGAACCCAACTGTAGCCTCTATCAGCCAGACCTAAGCTGTAGCCTCCACCAGCGAGTCCCCAACTGTAGTCTCCAGCAGCCAGGCCCCACCTGTAGCTACCACCAGGCAGACCCCACCTGTAGCCTCCACCAGCCTGACCCCGCCTGTAGCCTCCACCAGCCAAACCCCAGGTGTTGCCTCCAACAGCAAGACTCCGGATGTAGCCTCTAACAGCCATACCCCACCTGTAGCCTCCACAAGCCAGACCCCAACTGTAGGCTCCATCATCGAGACTCCAGCTCTAGCCTCCACCATCCAGACCCCAGCTGTAGCCTCTACCAGCCAGATCCCACCTGTAGCCTCCATCAGCGAGACTCCACGTGTAGCCTCCACCTGCCAGACCCAACCTGTAGCTTCCACCAACTAGACCCCAGCTGTAACCACCATCAGCGAGACCCCACATGTAGCCTCCACCAGCCTGACCCCAACTGTAGCCACCATCAGCCAGACCTAAGCTGTAGCCTCCACCAGCCAACCCCATTTCTAGACTCAATCAGCGAGACTCCACGTGTAGCCTAGCTCCAGCAGTCAGACCCCACCTGTAGCCTCCACCAGGCAGACCCCACCTGTAGCCTCCACCAGCCAGACCCCACCTGTAGCCTCCACCAGGCAGACCCCACCTGTAGCCTCCACCAGCCAGACACCACCTGTAGCCTCCACAAGCCAGACCCCACCTGTAGCCTCCACCAGCCAGACCCCACCCATGGCATCCACAGGCCAGACACCACCTGTAGCCTCCACTAGCCAGACCCCACCCATAGCCTCCACAAGCCAGACCCCACCTGTAGCCTCCACCAGCCAGACCCCACCCATGGCATCCACAAGCCAGACACCAACTGTAGCCTCCACTAGCCAGACCCCACCCATAGCCTCCACAAGCCTCCATCATCGAGACTCCAGCTTGACCTCCAAAAGCCAGAGCCAACTGTAGCCTCCACCAGCCAGTCCCCACCTATAGCCTCCACTAGCCAGACCCCACCTGTAGCCTCCATCAGCGAGACTCCATCTGTAGCCTTTACCAGCCTGAACCCAACTGTAGCCTCTATCAGCCAAGACCCCAGATGTAGCCTCCACCAGCGAGACCCCAACTGTAGTCTCCAGCAGCCAGGCCCCACCTGTAGCTACCACCAGGCAGACCCCACCTGTAGCCTCCACCAGCCTGACCCTATCTGTAGCCTTCACCAGTCAGACCCCACCTATAGCCTCCACAAGCCAGACCCCACCTGTAGCCTTCACCAGCTAGACACCATTTGTAGCATCCATCAGCAAGACTCCATCTGTAGCCTTTACCAGCCTGAACCCAACTGTAGCCTCTATCAGCCAGACCTAAGCTGTAGCCTCCACCAGCGAGTCCCCAACTGTAGTCTCCAGCAGCCAGGCCCCACCTGTAGCTACCACCAGGCAGACCCCACCTGTAGCCTCCACCAGCCTGACCCCGCCTGTAGCCTCCACCAGCCAAACCCCAGGTGTTGCCTCCAACAGCAAGACTCAGGATGTAGCCTCTAACAGCCATACCCCACCTGTAGCCTCCACAAGCCAGACCCCAACTGTAGGCTCCATCATCGAGACTCCAGCTCTAGCCTCCACCATCCAGACCCCAGCTGTAGCCTCTACCAGCCAGATCCCACCTGTAGCCTCCATCAGCGAGACTCCACGTGTAGCCTCCACCTGCCAGACCCAACCTGTAGCTTCCACCAACTAGACCCCAGCTGTAACCACCATCAGCGAGACCCCACCTGTAGCCTCCACCAGCCTGACCCCAACTGTAGCCACCATCAGCCAGACCTAAGCTGTAGCCTCCACCAGCCAGACCCCATTCTAGACTCAATCAGCGAGACTCCACGTGTAGCCTAGCTCCAGCAGTCAGACCCCACCTGTAGCCTCCACCAGGCAGACCCCACCTGTAGCCTCCACCAGCCAGACCCCACCTGTAGCCTCCACCAGGCAGACCCCACCTGTAGCCTCCACCAGCCAGACCCCACCTGTAGCCTGCACCAGCCAGGTCGCAACTGTAGCCTACATCAGCGGGACTCCATGGGCCAGCTGTAGCCTCCACCAGCCAGACCCCATCTGTAGCCTCCACCAGTCAGACCCCACCTGTAGCCTCCACCAGCCAGACCCCACCTGTAGCCTCCACCAGCCAGACCCCACCTGTAGCCTCCACCAGCCAGACCCCAACTGTAGCCTCCATCAGCGAGACTCCAGCGGTATCCTCCACCAGCCAGATCGCAACTGTAGCTTCCATCAGCGAGACCCCAAATGTAGCCTGCACCAGCCAGGTCGCAACTGTAGCCTCCATCAGCGGGACTCCATGGGCAAGCTGTAGCATCCACCAGCGAAACTCCACCTGTAGCCTCCACCAGCCAGACCCCACCTGTAGACTCCACCAGCCAGACCATTTTTTAAATTGATTACTCACAGTAATTATCCGATTTTCACATTCAAAAAAACACCCCAAATAGCGCTGTGAATCCCGATTTTTTAAAGTGTCCAAAATGACGACCTTTCCGATGAAATTGTGAAGTGTATTTGTTTGCGTGAAATATATAGAATTTTATTGGACTTCAAAGTGAGGGTTGAAGAGGAAGGACGGATGTGTCTCTCTGGCACCCAGGAGGTTTACCCTACAGACAACACAAGTCAACTTGAATCACAGAGGGTTGTAAACAGGGGTATTGTGTTTGATGTTTTACCGATTATATCCCAAAACTTCCACATCCCAAAACTTCCGCATCCCAATACTTCCACACATTATTGAAACAACAACTCCTCATCACACCTTTTCAGGTAATGCCGGGATAGCCCAGGAAGTGCACTGAACTGAAACAACAGATGATGATGCATCGATTACAGCAGGGCCGACACGTCGAATCATGCTTGAGTGCTTCTGTGTTAATCGGTCGAATTTCAGACCGTGTTATCACACTGGGAGAGTCTAAGTTCATTAATTAACTCATTAAGCCCGAGAGCCCCATCACTACTCAACACCTGGAAGCCCTCGCTGATTGCCCACTCTCTGAGCCGAGTCTAATTAGTGCTAGTCACACCTGATTTCCCTGGCAGGTTTCGGGGATCACAGGAAACTGTCCAGTCGTACAAACAAGTCCTGATTGTTTAATTGTGTCGTAAAGATATATGTTGAAAGAAATCAGGTGTGAATACATGTCGTGTATTGCAAGCTTTATGTAATTTTATTGCAAGTTTCTCTTGTAGACCTTTTGTGGGCTTGTACATTTATATTTTATCACAATATGCATACACATGTATTCTTTGTATGTAACAGATGAGACACACGTTAACAAATTCTCTCTCTTATATCATTGTGTGAGGTTTAAATTTACAAAACATCTGTGACAATGACATACTGTAAAGAAGAATTTACTTTCATACTTTATAATCTTTGACGAAAATAGCGGTTTTGTCGATACATTTTTAATGTTTACGAATTATTTTAATAAAAGTACTATAACGCTAGTCTGTGACTAGCACAAAGCACATTCATAGCATTGCACTTTATTTCAGACAGATTTAATGCAGAAAACATACGTGACCATACAAACATACATATTCAAAATGTATACTACATATTCCTTGCATAGACATAAAACAAAGAGTCACGTGATAGGGCGTCATCAAATTGGAGTAGATAGTCACTTTGGCGAGTTTATTTGTCCTCATTTTAGCGTTTTTCGATAAGTAAAACAAAGCGATTGAAATCCAACCACTGAGTAGGGGTAGTATTTATTTTCATATACATTTTATGCACACAACTAGTACATAAAACATAATGGTTTGCTGTACATGTAAATATAATCTTCACCTTGATACAGAATTCACGAGGTGACACTATACTGAATTATTATAGTGTATAAACTTGCAGTTGACACCCCCCACCCCCAATATTTATGAGGGTGGGCGTGCCTATATCTTTAATGAATGCAAACGAGGTTCATAAGATTACCGATGTGCATGCATGTATAAACATCACAGAGAGGGGGCGTGACTCCATAAAGCAAGATGTCCAATGATATAACAGCGCATCTGTTTATTTTACACTTGTCACGGGACAAACCTTTCAACAAGGACGTAACTACATATGCATTCTACCGGAGGCTGTTATTTCAAGGTCGAAAGAGGCGTTCAATTATCTCATTACTGTAATCTGCTTGAATGATTATACGCATGTGTATCGATACCGTAACTGATATACTATCCAGCTTTTATTGACGATGGATCAATAGAGACTGAGTTGATTGATACACGTGATAATTGCACCGGATTTGATAATTACACAGATCAAATACAAACGTTTTACAGAATGCTCATGTAAATTGCATAGAAAACTGACAATTCAAATCAACATGAAACTTTCAACAGCTTGAACAAAAATGCTTGAAATACCTTTGTATGGCTTACATGTAATAACTTATGATATTACTTCTGTCCATGTGTGACAATGTTTTGAATCACCAACTTACTGTCTTTTGTAACAAATGTAGTAAAACATTCCATTGTTGTAATAAGACTGACATGTATACATGTATATGTATTCGATGCAAAGACGCGACTTATCACTTTATATTCGCTTAGGTAACATTACGAAATTTAGATTATGGAAAACAACTAGTTACAATTCAGTAAACTTCAAATTAGTAAGTGCAATTATGTTTAATCTATTCGAGCTTGGATGTATAATTAGACAGACACACCATTCACTGCAGAGCAAAGAAAATTTGAAATCACAAAATCAAAGAAATATACATGGACGAAAAGTGGTGCAGGAAGTATATATTACTTCAGAGATTGAATACTGAGAAGAAATGACCGATCTACATACCTACAGAGCTAGGATTGGACTTTTCGTCCACCCGCCTTGGTCACAACAGGTGAGCCATATCGCCGTTGACTCGGAGTACACACGATACACGTCTGATATGCCGCTCCGGGCATCGGTATGTGTTATACTGCTGACCATACATCTACTGACATCTGCATTGGTTATCAGAGGCGTAGACCACTAGTTAACAAATGATCGCAGTCTCTTAACCTCGCATTCGTTTGAACACAACTGTGTTTACACTCGTGACGTCACAGATCACTTCACTTTGAATACGGAAGCATATCATATATGCAGTATGCAGTCACGTCGCGGATCTGTCATATCAGCGAGTGTGATCAGACTACAAATCATTCTATCAAATGATGTCGAAACCAACCCTGGCCCAGTTGACTTGAAAGACTTAAAATCCATGAAAGCTGACATCCTATCTGAATTGAAGGATTTTAGGCTACTTATGACAAAAGAAATGGCGTCTATGAATAACAAACTCAGTAATCTCTCAGATAAGTGTTCATCACTAGAAACTCTTATATCTGAACTTCGCAGTGACATAGACAGAGTTTCGGGCGAGCAGTCGTCTATCTATAACGATATAGACGCCTTACAATGTAGACTCGATTTCGTCGAGGGTAAATTGGAGTCGCAAGGCACTGATTTAGATAGGCTTGAAGCCTTTAGTCGTCGGGATAATGTTGTATTCTACGGTGTACCCGAGACTGATAATGAATCATTTGACTCCTGCAAAGAAAACGTTGTTAATCTTCTAAATGACCACGTTACGGAAAAAGAATGGCAACGCGGGGATATTGTACGTGCGCATCGTATAGGTGCCAAGAGAGACAGACAAATGAAACCAAGACCACTTATAGCAAAATTTGTGAGCAGTGATGACAAAATTGAAACTCTGCGACATCGGGAACAATTCCGGAGGTCCAACAAAGGGGTTGCCAGCAACCTAACAAAACAGCAGCGAGAGAAGTTGTCTGATTTGAAAACTAAAGGTTTGTTCGGCTATTTTAAGAATGGCCAACTGTTCACAAGACCACTTCGTACTAATACGCACGATACGAGACGTCGATTGACACGTCCCCGATCAACGTCCTCGACAACCGGGACTCCATTCCCTGCCACGAACGTCGCCCCAGGTGAAAGCGCCGCCAGCCTCGATGCAACAACAGCTGTCCAAGAGGAGACGTCGAGGTCACGCGATCCCCTACCCCTCTATATGATTGAGGAAGCATAGGGAGGCGGCCGGGCCCCGACAGTCGACACCTACGCCCCAGGTGCTACTATTTCCTTACATGTTAAACATTTGCCTATTCTTATTTGGAATATAGAAGGTTTAATGTCAAAAATTAATGATAATGGTTTTCTTGAATTTTTATTGAAATTCGACATTGTATGTCTCTTGGAAACATTTCTTGATAAAGCGATAAATATCCCACGACTTTCTGCTTATGATGTTTATGTTGCAAATGCTCGTAGACTAGCTAGTGTGGGTAGACTATCAGGCGGTGTTTACATGCTAATCCGTAAATCTATTGCTAAACACTGCCTACATTTGAACCTAGATATACCAAATGTCATTGGCATCAGAGTAGATAAGTCTTTGACAAAAATGAGTAAAGATCTCGTACTGATGGGAATGTATGTACCCCCCACTAGCTCTCCCTTCTACCACACTACAGATCATGTGACAGCCATAGACGATGTAGAGCAGTGGCTCACCCACATCGCAGACGGCAGCTTCGAGACAGTAATGTGCGGGGACCTTAACGCACGGGTCGGGAGTGGCAACAACCCCCTAGAGACAGTTGACCGGCCAGGGGTCGACACAGCAGTGTTTCCCGAAGAGGAGAGTGTACCTCTTGACACGAGAAGCTCGTGTGATCAAATTGTAAATACGTTTGGAAGAAAATGACTTGATCTTTGTTTTACTCATCATTTGTACATATGTAATGGTAGATGTGTGGGAGATAGAGAGGGGAACTTTACATATATGTCAGAAGCTGGCTAGAGCGTTATTGACTTATTTATTGCATCTGCAAATATTCATTCACATTGTAAATACTTAACGGTGCACTCAAGAGTTGAATCGAAGCACATGCCTGTTAGTTTGATGTTAAGCTCTGATGCAGTTGAGACTGCACCTATTGATAACAGTGGTGATAATGATAATGAAGGTTCAGCTCGATATATGTGGAATGAAGATAATGTACAAACCTTGTTAGATTCATTGTGTGAACACCTACCGGTTCTTGATGATCTAGTAGATTTAGTTAATGTTGATGTCAACAAAGCCCTTGATATATTTGTCAAACATATTTTGAAATCAGCAGATGTCTTTAAAACGATACCTTATAAACCAGCTAATCGTGGATTTTATACTAGTAGATGTCAGTATGCTAAGCGAGAGGCTAGAAGAGAATTGAGACGTTACAGAAACACTAAATCAGCCGTCAGTAGACGCAGATATTGTGAACTAAGGAATAAATACAAATATGAATGTAGAAAAGCTAAGTTAACATTTCAGCAAAAGAAAAGTTCTAAGTTAAAATCTTCTATCCATAA